TGTAGTCACTGATACCTATTTAAAGACAATATGATTTTTTTTTAAAAATGTATTAATGAATTAATAGTCAGAAAATGACACTGGTCTTAACTTAAAGGGACCATCCATAAATGACCAAACGCAAATTTTTACGATTTTCATTCCCTTCCCTCCATCGTCACAAATCGTCACAAAAAGAAGTTTTTTTCACACAAAACCCCCCCCCCCCCCCCCCCCCCCCCCCCCCCCCCCCCCCCCCCGGTCTCAGTCTAAAAAAAATCACTCCGCCCACTACTGTCCTTTACAAAACCCTTTAAAAAAATCATCTCCCCTGCATAGCGAATTGCTCTATGTGTGCAAGAAACATCTCAATAGAAATGGTGGCTCTTAACCAGGGGGTCAAAGCATCCCCTGAGCTGCGGAGGACTTAGAAAATAGTATTTGCTGCATTGCTAGTTGCTGCTGCTGCTGCTGTTGTTGCTTTTAAGAAAAATCAGTTTTTGTGCATTTTGATTAAAAGCAGTTTTTCCAGGGTGAATTTTGCATGCGCATTACGCGTATTTTCCTCCCCTTGTTTCTAGAAAGTTAATTAAAGAAATAAAGCTACAATAATTTAATTATTTAATTATTTTTATAATTTTATGGCTATATAATTTCTCCGAGGGAGGGTTGCGGGAAACGTCTTGAAATTGAGACGGGATGCAGCGCTGCAAAAAAAAAAAGGTTAAGAGTTCCTGAATGAAGTAGCAAAACGAGGTATGTGGAAGTTTGAATTAGAGAACAGGACAAAAAGATAAGGACGTTTCGGGCATAAACTAGGGCTTCAATGCAGTCCTTTAATTTTTTTTCTTTTTAAGAGTCCTTGCTCTTGAAAATTTACTAAGATCACATCTCCCCACCCCACCTCCAGTCAACCATTTTTTTTTTCGTCTCATCCAAATTCACGTGGTAGCACTAATTCAGTTTCCCGTCTCCACGTTTCAACATAGCTGTCAATTTAACTACAGCCTGATTCTCCTCCTCGGGGCGGCCTGCAACTTGATCATAGGCCTTGTTTCGGACGTAGCATACGCTAGTCATTCTCTCAGTGAACGTAGCTAATATATATATAATTGTTACATAAAGGAGTAATGTTTAAAATTTCTGTAATTTAAAGTTATAATGTGTGTATTGTTTTTAAAAAAATGTTCTGCTTTTTTTATGTGACGTCACACTGCTCCCCCTTTGTCACGCATCTTTACAAAAATGTAACCCCCCCCCCCCCCCCCAAAAAAAAAAAACAAAAAAAAAACTCCTTTTTAATTTTTTTTTTTAATTTAATTTTTTGTATTGTGTTAATCATCTTAAATGTATGTTTTAATTCGATGCCCCAACATTCTGTGCAAATAATTGCTTAGATATAAAATATCTAAAACAATAAATATCTATGTTTAACACTAAGACTAAAGAGCGTTGGTGTCTTCATTTAATTGGTGATCGTATACCTAAATGTTTTGCATAAATTGCATCAAAAGCAGAGGCGCGCCGAGAGTGGGGCAAGACACGGCACGTACACGTGGGCGCAACTTTAATAAAAGAGGGAGGGGGCGCGCAAAAATCGACTTGCCGGAGAACGATTTTTAAACTTTAAATAAAAAGTGTTTGTTTATAAGTTAGTTGGTTGCAGAACAACTGATCGAGCTACGCGTAGGTAATCTATGTCTACCTCGACTTTATTTTTCGTTCCAAATTCTATCTACATCAAAATAGGTTTCTCAAACTTAATTGAGGCGCAATTCTAATTCTCGTCGTGCGTGTCGTATGTCTTCGGTATGCCTCTGATCAAAATGAAAGAAAAAAAATTAAAAATTAAGCTAGACAAAAATAGTATAACAACGCCGTTAATTTGTGAGAACTGCTTGTTGGTTTTAAAGGACCGTCGCTCGTCCCCGATGTCTCTACAATTTTAAAGATTGACATGGACGGGAAGACAGAGAAGTGGGTGAGGAAATTATAAGGAAAGTAAGAAACTAATACCGCGATTAAGTTGCCAGGCCAAATATGTTACTGATACTTTCTTCTTGTTTAAAAAAGTGTTAATTGGAATAAAGTGATTCCATAACACCCCCCCCCCACCCCACAAAACAAAACAAAAAAATCACCAGTAGTGACAGCCGAACAGAACACTCCCCTAAAGCAGTGTTGACGTAATATTGTTCTTAATGGCACTTTCTCACGTGAAAGGGAAAGGGTGAGACTGGAGGACACTGCAATTGGTACCAATAAATATTACAAAAAGCGGAAAGACATTGAAACGGAATTATTTTATTTAAAAATTATGATTGGTTTTAGCTATCAGAGTAAAATATGGCATCTAGAAACTGAATATTACTTACGCGAAATTACAATATTAGGTAAATTTTAACAGCACCTGTTCGGATAATGAAGGTTATTGTGAGAAAACTCAAAGATGTAATTAATGGTTACCAAACTGTGGTATGTGCACCCCTGCAGGTACGAGGCGGACCGCTTGGGGATATGCAAAAATTCTTTTGACAATCGTGGGAAACCGAAAAAATGATTTTTTTTTTACACCTTTTAATTTACTAGAAGCTACATTTTAACAAGGAGACGCAACCATTCGCACCCGGGTCCCATTAGACAGGTCTCCAAACTACAGCCCGCGAGGCCCTCTCATGCGGCCCGCGGAGACCTTTTTGTCTACGGAAAAAATACGTAAATTTACGTGTATCCTGCCAAGATCAGATGCCGCTTACGTGGACGTTATGTTTTTACCGATTTAAAATAGAGGCGCGGGCAGTAGTGAGTTATGTTTTCTAACCATATTCGCTGCTTAGTTTTTCTACTTCTGTTCACTGTCAATGGGATGATATAACGCCATATTGTGGCGGAGCTTTGCCCGCCGTTTTGCAGACATGGGTGAAACATTGTGACTTAAATAGCGAAAATGAAAACAAGTTTCGCCAATTTTTTATTGCAATGGATGAATAGCTGGACAGCTGTTCCACCTCTCAACTGCTTGTGTGGATGAAGACATGAAAATAACACAAGAGCTGGCTTCCCTACATAGCATGTACGTCACTGTACCGGAGAGGATATATTCAATGAGTTGAAAAAACATTTGCTAATTGTAAATTGGACTGGACTAACCTCAGTTGCCTGACTGTTGATGGAGGAAAGAACATGAGTGGCATAAAGAAAGGCTTGGTTGGACAAGTGAAGCAGATGTGTAATGAGAAAAAAATTTGCAACCAATGTTCCTGCACTGTATTTTTAACCAGAAAGTTTTGTGGGTTAAATATATGGACATTAGCTGCGTACTGAATACTGTGGTAAATAGGGTTAATTTAATAAGGTCATACGGGCTCAACCATAGACAGCTCAGAGACCTGTTGAAAGATTCAGACACAGAATCGCAAGATTTGCCATATTACACAGCAATAAGATGGCTAAGTTGTGAGAAAGTTCTGAGCAGAGTATTTAAGTTAAGAAAGGAATTAGGTGAATTCCTGGAGAGTAAAGGCCAGACACAGCCATTAGTGTCTGATGAAGAGTGGTTATGAAAATTGGTCTTTGCTGCAGACTAACTAGTCATTTAAATTTTCTGAACCTAAAACTACAAGGAGAGGAAAATCTATTTTCTGATCTATTACACCCACCTAAAGGCCTTCAGATCTAAACTCGTCTTTTTTTTGGAACTAGTACAAGCCAACAACTTGAAACACTTTCAGCAGTGGACGGTCTTCATGGCTGAAGCAACAGCGGAGTTCCCCAACGTCATTTGTATGCGAGATCATCAAAGACCTCAAGCTGCAATTTTATCAGCTATTTTCTGACTTGGATTTAAAGGCAGAAGAATTGAGACTTTTTCAAAACCCATTTGAAGCAGATGTGGCCAGTTGTCCAGATGAACTGCACCTGGACGTCATAGAGTTGCAAGGAAATTATGACCTCCGTAGGGACAAGTTAAAAGAAGGACCAGTGGGTTTTTAACTAGTTTTCGCCCAAGGATGACTTTCCTAATTTCAAAACATTTGCATCAATGTACTTTTCAATCTTTGGAACAACATGCCTGAGCAAAAAACATTTTCAAAATCGAAATAATTGAAGAACAATTTGAGAACAAATATGTCCGATGATAATCTCAGGTCACTGTTGATGTTAGGGACATCAAATTATCTAAATCCAGAAATGTCTGCTAATCACTGCTATTTTGTCACCCAGAAAACAATTTCAACATTCCCACTAATACAGATGTTCATGTGTAGTGTATCAATGTGTTATTTAATAATAACTGAATGAAATAATAATACATAAATGATTTTAAAAAAACAACATCCATGTTTTGATTCTTTTTTATTTGGACTTCGAGTGTGTAGTCGGCCCCCGATCTGCTGTTTGATAGTTAATGCGGCCCTCGGGCTGAAAATATTGGAGACCCCTGCATTAGACTAATGCTATTCGGATGTCATTCGTTGTAGTTTATTTTAGTTAAACTTAAGAAATAACTTTACAAACATATATTCCATTCAATTATCGTTCATTTGATACTTCATTTTGTCTCACAAACCCAACAATAATTTTTAAATAGTTTTTTTTTAAATCTCAACCTCTAACTTCTGGTACCCGGGTGCGAACAGCCATTTCGTTTCATAATATAACAAAATATACTCTTATGGTCCCCATAATTATTTTTTTTTACAAATGTATCAAATTTCGTGGGGGTTTGTTGGGCTATAATACAGGTCTATTTACAATTTTTAAAAAAATCAACAGAAATAGACTCTATAGCCCGATTTACCGTCTTGATTTCGAATAAATAGTTTCATTTAACTATTTTTAAATAACAGAAATAAATGTGCATTTTTAGAATTGTTGGTAATATAATGGCGTCGTGGTGTGAACTTTTCGTCGTTGCAACGACATCATAGCTGCAAAGGAAATTTCTGTACACGGAATTCGTATTAATACTTATTTTTCCATGAAATGTAACTCGTTTGTGATTGGCTAACAAAAATTTTGTGTTACAAAATGGCGACACAGGAGGGAACTCCGAAGGAAAATGAAAGTAAAAATGTATCACAACCCTTATGTCTTTCAACGTTGCGAAGTCGCGTTAGGGCGTACATAGATAAAGTAAGAGCTAAAAGCGTCATCATCAATAATGCATTTAATTAATTTTTTTTAAATCTGCAATTGTAAAATAGTCATCATGACTCTTATTGATTTTGATCTTTGTTTTATTTATCATAATCATAGTCATAGTGTAGTGTCATGGATTATTGATTGATAGTTCAATTAGTTGATATTTTGAAATAGTGTGGCATAGGCCCTAGGCCTATTTAATTTATAAAGAATTCACAGAATTGGACATCACTGGGACTTTTTTACTTTTTCTTTTACAGCACCAATATGATTCTGCGATATTTTGGGCAGACAAACTTGCAACTTTGTCTGATGGTAAGCTGTGTTAGATGCTCTAATTTCTTAGTGTTTGCTACTGTTTTAAGAATGGCATGGTTACAATTAAAACCCTGTTAACACCGAAAAAATATTATAACCATATTTGCTAGCAAATCTATTTATTGAAAAATAAATAAATTAAATATTCAAAACAATTAACTGATTAAAAAAGTAGAGCTAACGTCAGGACAGGCTTTAATTTCATTTCACAATGATGTCATTTATCAAACTACATTATATGAAAACCTCTGATGTTTTTTTCTTAAGCCGTGGAGGATATATTTTGGTATGCTCAAACAATGTATTACACTGGACAGTATCACAGAGCTATACACTTAATAACAAGTCAAAAGCTGGACAAGGTAATTTTAAAACACTTAGTTTTAGCTTGTGCTATTAAATACAGGAAAAAATCTTTAGTGCTTACAATAAATAGTAAATCTTTACTCTCTAATTACTACCTGCATCTCTGTTTTGAATGCTAATTTCTATTAGTTTCATCAAACTATAGATTTGTAAAAGCTACTTAATTTGAAAGTTATGCTATGTTGTTCATGAAAGTTAAGTTTCTTTACATCATGATTAAAAATGTCCTTCATAATGTATTTTCTGACTATTCATCAAGTTTCAAAATTCAAGCAATTTGGGAGGAAATATTTTTTTAATGCTGTAAAGAATGATCATTTATCTCCATATACCTTGTTTATGTCACAGATAAATCACAATTATTGACAATATTTAATTCTTTCAGAATTACGCAGCCTGTCGATATTTAGCTGCAAAATGTCATGTAAGTAAACTAATAAAATTCTCAATTCTTACTTATCCGTGCTTGTTAAATATAGATAAGTAACAGTTTAGAGTCAAAATAGCTCTTCTTTCTTTAAAAAAAAATGTTGTTTTTTTCATATTTATACACTCTTAAATATGTTCCTCTTCCATTAACACATCAGTATGAGTGCAAGGAATGGCAGGAAGCTCTTAACATTCTTGACTTGCTCGACATGTCTTTTACCCGTAGCACCTCGGCCATGAACACAAGTTTGAGTGAGTCAGTTCCTGATAGTGAGCTAACATTGTCTATACCTAACGTAAGTTGGCCGTGTTGGTTTTAAATCATGCCTCAAATGCATTGGGTTTTCTTGTTGGTTAAGTCAGTTTTAAAAAATGTTCATCTAATGGTTAAAACTATCTGATTAATTCTCTGCATCCTTTGGAATAGACAACAAATTATAAACCACCCCTTGAGATTTTTTGCCCTTTCAAAAAATGCATTTCATGTGATTATTGTGATATTAGAAATATGACTTTGGATATGTGTGTAATGAAATCACTATGACAGTATTATAAAGTTGAAATGGTCTGAGAATTTTGAAGAAATCATTAAATGGTTGCAGAGAGTTAATTCTTTAAGGCTTTAAATAACACCATAACATTAACCAAATAATTATTTTACATACCGTATTTATTGGCGTACAACATGCACTTTTTCTCCCCGAAAATAGGGGGCAAATCATGTGTGCATGTTATACGCGATATAATGTTTATTTTTTTCCTGACATTTCCTTCTTAAATTGCGGTGCGTGTTATGCGCCAATAAATACGGTAATTGTATAAGATAAATTATATGTTATGGTGTCCTTTAAAGCCTTAAAGAATTAACTCTCTGCAATCATATAATGAGCTCTTGTTTATAAACTTAATGAATACTTTTTAACATTATTTTTACATTTTATTTTGTTTAAAAATTTAATGGGGCACTTCAGTATATGTTAACAATCAGACCTCTTATGATATACTAAGCAGACCTGTTTACTCTTACGATTTTGGCGTACAATGTACGATTTTGAGGTGTTAACATGTATACTGTATGTTTATTTTTTTCTATAAATATAAGGTATTGAACGATTTTGTGATAATATTGTACGATTTTTAGAGTCCGAGGGTAAACAGGTCTGACTAAGGAATGTAATTTATTAAGGAATGTTATGGTATTAAAAATTTGTTAAATTCCCGTTTGCTTTCATTAACATATTCAAATTAATTAGAACAAAATCTTTTTTCTTCAGTGTGAAAATTCTATATGTTTGTTGAGGGGGAAGATATATGAAGCAATGGACAACCGCGGTTTAGCATCTGACTACTACAGAGAGGCCTTGAGGCTAGATGTGTACTGCTTTGAAGCCTTTGAGCTTCTTGTAAACCATCATATGCTCACTGCTAAGGAAGGTCAGTTATTAGTAAGGGTGTTAAAAAAAAATAAAAAGAATTCTGCTTACTGGTTTTAAAACGGATAGCAGGTTATTGATTTTCAAAAGCAGGTTTTGAATTAATTTTATCATGATTAAAATCAATTTCTGTTTTTTAAATCCAGATTATTGTACCTTTTTATAAATAAATTTTAGAATAATAAACCAATAGTAAATGCAAACAATGGTTTTTGGAATCTCAGGTCAAACTATACCGCATACTTTATCAAGGTCAGCGGAATTCAAGAAAGGTCATTTCCAAAAATAGATGCCTGACTTTTATATTGAAGCCGAGATTGCTATTTTGTGGCTTCAAGCTAGAAGTGTGATCAGTTTATAAACAAAAATTATATTAAAATAAAAAAATTATAATAATACAAACAGACTCCTTCCAATACATACGTAGTCATTGCATTTTTAAATATTTTTATACGAATCAGGACCTGCTAGATATTTAAACTTTATTTGGATATATTATAGTTAGACTAATTTAATGTGATGCTTTGTGTACCTATGATTTAATGGGATGGCATGTGTCTGTGATATTTTATTCCTTTTAGGCATTAATTAATGACAAATATAATCTCATTTTTTTTTTTTTCACTTAGAATGTTTAATAAATAAAATAGTTAGGTATAAAAAATAATTTGTGTTCATTAAATTCTTGTTGACAAACTGCATTATTTATTTTTCTTTTCGGGGAAAGTATTAAAATGCAATCTTTTCTTATTTAAATCTCAACTTCCTCCAGAGCATGAGCTGATATCATCACTGCCATTTGCCAGCCAGTGTCCACCAGAAGAAGCAGATATTGTCAAGGAGCTTTACCAAAGCAGGCTGAAAAAGGTAACTGGCTTGTTCCCAAAGTACACTGTTGATTAATGTTTCATCCATTTACTTGTATTCTTCATTCATAATTAACAAGGCCTAAGTGTGGGACTGGTGTAAATCTCACTATACACCAAGTCACAAATTTACAAACTTGCAATTACCAAAAAAGAACTCTTTCTCTTCACAGTATGATTGTCCAGGAAAAACAGATTTGTCTCCTGCTCTCATCCCCCTGAAAAACAATCTAGATGTGATAGTCAGCACTGCAGAGCAACATTTATACAACTGTGATTTTAGGGCAGCTTATAAGATTACATCCAAGTAAGATATCATTTGTTTTAATTTGTACTTACCTGGCTTAAGTTGCCTCCATTCAAGAAGGTTACAGCCTTAGTATTGGTTTTTGTTTGTGATGTGAGAGAAATTGACTCTTTTCCAAGCAATTTTGAACTCATGGTGTAGTATTTGTTTTGTTTTTTTCTGGCCAGCAACCCCCATCACTGCCTAAGCATTCTTGTTAATCACCCAAAAATCCAGTGATCTCATTTAGGAAGAGATCACTTAAAGGACATTTTTTAAAGTTAATGTATACATGTTTTTGATATTGTAAGCTATAACATAGCATACATGGCGAGCTCGAAACAGTTTGAACTGTTTCTATTACTTGTTGTTTCTTCTTTTGTCATGACTGATGAAGAAGGCTTTTAGCCGAAACGTTCTCCTTTTATTATCCTGTCTTTATATTTCAAGCTTTCACATACCTTGTTCCATTATTGTTCCACTATTTCCTTCACACTGCTTGAATACAGTCCTTCTGATTCTGATTGACTACATTGCTGCAACCAAGTACTGGCTTATGTGCAACAGTTTAGAAAACGATGCAGCTATCCCAACGGCTCCTAGCGGTTGCCAGGGCAGCCTTGCAACTCTCGATTGATTGCAAGTCCACGGCGGCATTGTCCAATTGGTTCCAGGCAATTATTGTTCGTGGGAAGAATTATTGTTTATATTGAACTGTGTTACACCGAGGCACAGTGAAGCATTTATCATTGTTCCGGATGTAACTGCTCATGGAGTTGTCAGAGGTGAAGTCAGTGTTTATTGAGAATTTGGCCTTGATTAAGCGACCTGGCTTCTGCGGGGTTAGATACGTGTTAGCAGGAATGGCAGGCACTAGTTCTGTGACCACTTTATAAAGAAATGTTAGACAGAGCTTTTCTCGTCTGTCTTTGAGGGAGGGAATGTCAAATCTTATTAAGAGGTCAGTGACGAAGCCAGGAGTGGTCACTTGCGATGAAGCGCACTGCGTTGCGTTGTAGTCGCTCCATTTTGTCCACGTCTTGCTTTAGGTATGGGTCCCAGATACTCACACCATATTCTAGTAGTGGTCGGACGAGTTCGAGATAGGCATTTGGTTTGCAGGATGTTGGGCAGTGGCGCAGATTTCTTCGAATGAAACCAAGTGTGGAGTTGGCTTTTTTTTTTAATTTTGTTTATATGGTGATCATTTTAGATTATTAGAGAAAACAATTCCAAGGTATGGATTATTTGATACTTGTTGGAGAATGATCTTGTTTAGAGAGTTCATATAGGTTGTTAGCCTTTCTAATACTATATTTTATAGTTTAGCATGTTTTTTGGCATTCTTTCTTTGATGATTCTAAAAAATATTTCCATAGAGCAAGAGCTTCCATTCAATAATATAAACTTATTTCTCCATGTATTCTATCAGATAAGATATTTTTATTGATCCAAATAAATGAACATTTGTTTTTTATTCATGGTACATTATTTTTGTTCAGTCTTGAGAACCCTTGTTGAGTTTTCGTTGTTCCTAGCAAGACTTTTGTCGAATATTGTGCAGTATGAATAACTTGAGTTCCTGAGTGTGAGTTGTGATTTTGAACAACAGAATTTTGCCTTTATGTTTGGACAGAGTTCTCGTTGAGGACCATGGCCTTGTGAAGGGGGTTGAAAAGGAGGCGGTCCAGCGACGAGCAGCACGCTTTGTCCTAAACCGCTACAGGAATACCTCAAGTGTTGGCAGCATGCTAGAAACACTAGGCTGGTCACCATTGGAGAAACGACGACGACAATCCAGGCTCTCCATGATGTACAAGATAAATAATGCAGACCTGTTTACCCTCAAACACTTAAAATCGTACAATATCATCACACAATCGTCCAAAACCTTATATTTAGAGTAAAAAATAAGCATACAGTAGGCCTATAGGCCTATATATTTTTATTTACACCTCAAAATCGTACATTGTACGCCAAAATCGTAAGAGTAAACAGGTCTGATAATGGGCTGGTCCACTGTTCCAGTATTAAACAGAAACTCGTACCTCTCCCCCATAGACAGCGACGAGGCCATGACAGGCAATTCAGGCTCATACCAGCAAGAAGCCAGTATAGGAGCTGCTCATTCCTGCCCAAGACAATCAGGGACTGGAACAATCTTTCAAAAGGAACGGTTGAGGCGACAACACTAGACACATTTGTGTCTATTGCCTCAAGCCTTCAAACCCCCAGTGCATGATTCCCTCACAAAGTGGCACTGGAAATCTGTGAAATTTCCTCATCAACACCAGGAACAGAAACATTGCAAATCCCATCTACATGCATAGGAGCCAAAATGATCAATAAATTGATCGTGGGCCCTTAAGATATAGAAGAAGAAGAGGCCTCTCGCTCCTTGCACCAAATAGTTTTTTATTTTTCCATTTACTTACACTCTCTGTAATGCCTTCTAGTTGAACAAAAAATCTGAAATAAATGAAAATGTTAATGAAATATTAACAACTCTCTTTTTATTTCCACATAGAGTTCTGAGCAAAGATCCATACAACAGTCATTGTCTACCTATACATATAGCCATATTGGTGGAGTTGAAGAACTCCAATGGTAAGTGCAAGAAAGTTCTGAAAAAAATGTGTTGTGAATAATCTTGATGTAATGAAAATCAGAACTATGGTCAAATTAATCTATAAAATCATTCCAAAATAAAAGTTTTTTTTTTATTTATATATAATTGTTTCAGTTTATATGCAATATATATCCTGCATTGATTTATTTTTTAATTTCATAAAAACAATCAGATTCACATACTTCTTGTGGTTTCCTTAAGTATTTATTTATTAATAGTTGTCTGTGGTTTACTATACTTAGGGTTATCTTCAAATTACAAAATTCAAAGTATAGCTGGAAAACCATCCATCCTGAGAATAGTTGTTTTAAACTCACATGTTTGTTGTAATTGTTTCTTTATTATTTCCCAGCTTTATTTTATCTTGCACACAAGCTTGTGGACTACTATCCAGACAAATCTGTAAGTTATATATTTGCATTAGTTTTTGCTGATACTTCGTTTATGCTTTACAAAGTCCAGTTTTTTGTTGTTTTTTTCTCAGTTTAGAAATACTACATCCTAGTACAATTATACTAATTACTTCAAGATTGGATTCTTTTTGCATTAATAAATTAACATGTCTAATATTCATTTGAAAAGTTCCACCTTTCATTGCCATTAATTCTTAAAATATTTACATTGAAGAGTAAGTTGTGAAATCAGTTTGGAGAAAGTTAAACTTTATGTTGTTAAGCAACTGCACTTTTGAATCCTGTTAAAAAAATATAAACATTTACAAATTATATCACATGATCTTCAGCATCCTAAGAATAAACTAAATTGTCATTTTTAACTTATATTTTAACAATAATTTTTGTAATAGATATCATGGTTTGCAGTCGGCTGTTATTACATGTTGACAGAAAACTTCTTGCCTGCCAGATGGTTTTTAAGGTACATATTATAAAAGATTCTTTTGATGAAATTTGGTTTAAATACATTGTACATTTTTGTTTTCAGCATTTAATATTAAAACACAGAAATATCAGTAAAAAAAAATGCTGATTAAATTAACAATTATAAACAAGGAGAATTTTAACATCAGACATTATTAAAGTATTTTGCAAACACAAAAGTCAGGCAACCTCTTTTTTCCCAGTTTTCTCTATAATCCCCTTACGAACTGCATGGCCATATTCTTGAGCCAGTTTCCTCCGTTAAGTACTTGGGTGTTACCATCCAAAGAGAGGTCCGCTGGGACGAGCACATTAACAGTGTGTGCAACCGGGCAAACAAGACCCTGGGGTTCCTAAGGCGCAATCTGAAGATCGGCAACTCAAGCGTGAAAGAAAAAGCCTATAAAGCCTTTGTCCGACCTATTTTAGAGTATGCTTCTACAGTCTGGGACCCATTTACCCAGAAAAGCATAGACAGGTTGGAGGCTGTCCAGCGACGGGCAGCACGCTTTGTCATGAACCGCTACAGAAGCACCTCGAGTGTTGGCAGCATGCTGGAAACACTGGGCTGGTCGACATTGGAAGAACGACGACGACTATCCAGGCTCACCATGTTGTACAAGATAACAAATGGACTGGTGCACTGCTCCGGAATCAAACAGAAACTCGTTAATCTTCCCCCCAGACTGCGACGAAGTCACGACAAACAGTTCCGGCTGGTAAAAACAAGAACGAAGTACAGAAGCTCCTCATTCCTGCCGAAGACAATAGGGGACTGGAACAAGCTTCCAAAAGCAACAGTTGAGGCGGCTACACTCGATACATTTGTGTCTATTGCCTCCTGTATTCCAACCCCCAGTTCATAACACCACTGCTGAGTCGCCCTTGCAACCAGTGAAGTATCCCATTGAAACCCATGAACAGTAACATCGCAAACCTCTCTGAAACATAGGAGCCAGAATGATCAATTCATTGATCGTGGGCCCTTAAAATAAAGAAGAAGAAGAAGAATTTAGAATGATGACTCACTTTTCAAGCAGGCAGAGAATCATGCTGGTAAATTTTACACTTTGGGCAACAAAGAAATTTCTAAATCTTTCAAACCTTACTTTAAGGGAAAGGATTTGTCCTGAACATGCTGATCTTAAGGGACTGTGATATAGTGGGTGGGTTGTATCCTAAGAATCTTGCTCAGTGTTCTTGAACAGTAGTAAATATAGTTATGTACATTCACATTGGTTTCTATAAAAAATAAGTATTTATTACTGGGCTCTAAGTTGGTGTTTGTTTATTTGCAGTAAAGCAACAAATTTAGAGAGAGCACATGGGCCGTCGTGGCTGGCATTTGGTCATACCTTTGGTGTCAACAAGGATCATGATCAAGCTATGGCAGCATACTTCACAGCATCACAGATCATGAGAGGGTAGAGTTGATTTTTCTCGCATTTTTAAAAAAAAAATTTTTAATAAATTGTTAGCAAATTTCATTACCGGGTATGTGGGAATTGTATGGTCATTGAATCATATCTGGAAACCTTGTCATCTTCACCAGAAATTTGAAATAAAAACTTTTCTTATATATACATAATTCCTACTTTTAGAATTAAAATCAATTCTCTAATACTAATATATTTTTTTACAGATGCCATTTGCCTGTTTTATACATTGGATTAGAATATGGCTTGACAAACAACCCAAAACTTGCTGAGCGTTTTTTCAGCCAGGCCCTCAGTATAGCCCCACAGGATCCATTTGTTTTACATGAGATGGGAGTCATAGCTTTTGGAAATACGAAGTAAGTTGTTTTTCTTTTAAAGGCTTTAAAATGTTAAAAGAAATTAAGTCTGACATGTGAGACTATGACTGAAGGACATTCTGTAGGAATGCCCCTCTAAATCTCAGTAATTCATTCAAAAATTGTTTAGAATTTTATGTGCCCTTGCTGCCTTATTTGAGGAAAATAAATTGATTTATTTTTTTTCTTTACAATGTACCGTCGGCTAAAATAAACATTTTTACCAAGAAATAATTATATCGGAAGTTTTGTTTAAAAAATATATAAATCTTTCTTACTTCAAATTTATAGAAATATTTAGTGAGCTTCATTTGTAGATTTTATCCATCTTCTTAATAAAAATCAACTGGCTAATATTTGTATCCTTTTATTTATACCTGCCACTTCTTGTGAAGTGAAACGCTGGTGTAGAGGTTTAGGTTATAATAATTTTCTATACAACTTTTCCGACATATTTTTATCTCAAGTTGAAAATATTACTATTTTGACACTTTGATGGTAAACAAATTCTTAATAATTCTGTTTGCAACTCCAATGGAATTTGAAACTACCTACATTTAACAAAGTTGTTGGTTTTTTTTTCCACTTATTCAGTTACGAGGAGGCGGAGTCTCATTTCTTGAAGGCCCTGGACAGAGTGAGAGAAGTTAGTCGTGAGATGTTACCAGAGCGCTGGGAATCCCTTCTCAACAACCTGGGTCATGTGAGCCGCAAGCTGGGGAAGTACGAAGAGGCACTGGAGTATCACAAACAGGCAGAAATACTTTGTCCACAGACTGCATCAACATATTCTGCCATAGGTACTGTGTGCTTCCAGAGAAGAGTTAGGTTTATCTCTTTATTGCCCTATGGCGCATAGATATAAAAAAAAAAAAAAAAAAAGAAAACTTTATATCCACATTGTTGAATTCGGGGAAATTGACGGAGGTGGCTGTTGTCTACCAATGGCATCAGCGGGCTGTGAAAACCATGGGCGTCGCTTAGGGGGCTGGTTTAGGGGTTAGGGAACCATAAAAAAAAAAAAGAAAACTTTATATCCACATGACTCTTTCCCTTGGTATGTTGAAACAAAAGTTTATGGATGGTAAATTCATTAATTTTATCAAGATTGTATCTTCAGAAATCTGTGATTGTTTAAAACATATGGGTGTATAAGAAAAGATAACATGACTCTGTAAGTGATCCAAATAAATTGGCAATCTGATTTGATTACAGTGTGCATTATTCTTTTCAGCATAAAACAACTGGTTCGTCTATGTCATATTTTATGCTGTTTTTAAAATTGATTTGCTAATTGCTTGAAATTTTTCTTCACAGTTATAAGGGAATATATTTTTTTTCAGGCTATGTTCATGCCTTAATGGGAAATCATTCAGAGGCAGTCAACTATTTCCATAAGGTAGGATGACTTGCACATTTAATGACAATGACAGCAGTGTTTTGAAAATCCTTTCTTTTGCAAACATAAATTTAAAAAATATAAATGTTGGTGCTATGCATGAGCACAATTGAAAATAAAAAAAAAAATTATTTTGTTGTACTTAAGTTAATATCATTATTTATAATTGTACAATGGTGACTTGATGCAAAATGCTTCAATAAAACATGCACCAGCGCACTATTTAGCCATACCTCAAAAAAAAAAGAGCGTCAAATTTTTTTCAACCTCAATGATCATATTGAGTCATCAGTGTGCTCTAAAAGAGAAATAGATGCAGAGCCATCTAAAAATAAACTATATTTTTTCCATGACATTCAGGCTCTAGGATTGCGCAAAGACGACACATTCTCAACAACAATGCTGACGAACTCGATGGATGCCCTCATGTCAGAAATAACTGCTTGTGATGGTAAGCTCATTCAAAGGGAACTCGTTCAAAGCTTCAGGAAGGGGCCAAGAATGGCCAGTGAAATCCATCAACAACATTTCAAATTTTAATCAGATATAATCCATGAATTTTTCCTATCATATTAGGCATAATTGTAGAATGTGATTAAATTTGGTGCGGTGCCCAAATATTTTAATTAACTTACTTGGCAATATGAATATCAAGAAGAAAAAAAATTATATTTTCTGTCCATGTATTTTATCAGATGAAACATTTAATTTTTTAAACTTCATAATTCTTTGACGGGTTCTCAAACTTTTTGAATGTTGTACCACTTGAATAATCTGCTTAAAGTTCATGTAAAACCTTGTGCTCATTTATTATTTGACACCGAATATCTGTATATGTCTTTCGGTAACATCTGGGACAACTTAATTTATCACTGTTTGAGAGTCAGTTTTATGTGAAATTCTAATTGCTGTATTAATTGATCTTCAAGGTGCAGATGAGGACCCCCACTTTCAGAACTTATCTAAAAGCCAAAGAAAAAGGGTCAAGTTGACTGACTTATTTGGTAATATTACTAAAGACGAGACGATAGATGACAGTAAAGCAAGCTTTGATACCACTGACCATGAACCATTTGCTGAAAGTTCTTTGTCCATGGAGGAAGTTGAAATGGAGGAATGCTCTACATCATGACAGCATTTAGGAATTTTTAAATTATGATGGGTTAAAGGCATATTTTATAAATAACAACTCCTGGATAAATTATTATTAGGCTTTTTCAAGGTCAAAAGTGACATGGTTCTTACCGAAATGTCTTTACTATATTACATTTTCTTTCAAAAGAATGTAATGGTAATGTATTTAAACAATCCATTAGTTATCTTAGAAATATAAGTCATTCTTCCTAGTTTATATTTCATTTAAGTGAACTTGCTAGATGATTTTTATAATACATCCTCCTGCGGCTATTTTAACCTACGTCTTATAATTATTTTAATTCAAAATGACTTTTTATAAACTGGTATTTCTGTCTTTAGATCATTTATATTATATGGTTGAGAAAATAAAAGGTAAAATATGAGGCAAATGCTTATATACTAGTTATGTTAAAATACTCTGACTTTAAAAAAATAAATAATAGAATTGTGGATTTTATGCCCATTTTTAAATAATATTAATGTCCACAGGATTTTATCTTCCAGTTTAATTTGTTAAGCAGGCCAAAAGTGTTCCTAAGAATTACTTTAATTTATACGATTTCTCTGCTGGAAATGCTTGATTTTGTTTTTCCCTTGTGAGTACAAATGCAGAATCTGATTTTTCTAACCTGGTGTGTTTGGATTATTTCACATTGTTTTAAAACTGAACGCTTTTTGTGGATGTATTGCTCATAGATCATTATGTATACACATGTTTCTGTAATTCTAATATGTTTGGCAACATTTCAATGAATGAAAATAATACATTTTTCATGAAGGTAAAAACTTGTCTTTTCTTTTTTTTTCCACTGAGCCTGATAAGTGTACGTCATAAGATAATACTATTAGAAGTATTAGGTATCAAATTCTTGATGTGACCAAAGATCACCCAGAATTTGGTGCTGGGAATTTTTTTAAAGAGAAATTTTGGATAGCTTCACCAAAGAAGTAAGCATTCATCATAATTACTGTAGTGGATATTGTTTGCTGTGAACAAGTAGATTTGGTCGTCTTGCTCAATGATATCTGTAATTTTTTTTCCCTCTTAATGGAGCCCAAAAATAGGAAGATTCATTCAGGTGCCATTCTGATATACTAAAGGCAACAATTCCCAAAATCTTGTCCATATGAGCTTGATTTTAAGAAATATAACTAGACAATACCAAACAAATGATAGCTAGCACAAATCATTAAAAAAAAAAAAGGGTTATAGTTATAGTTTATTCAACAATAAATTTTCAACACAATTTTCATGCTATCTATCGGCATGAATTGGAATCTTTCTTATTTGCAAGATATAAGACATTTCTAATATGGTACATGAGAATTAAAGTGAATTATTAAATGTAAATATATGAATAAAGTAATTGATGTTTGCATACTCATTTAAACAAACAAAAATATTGGCAATGGCATGTCATAACCTTAATGAAAATAATACATCTTGTTCCAAAATAGTCTAATTTAACAAATCTTTTATTATTTTTTTGTTAAATGATCAAACTGCAAGTACTTAAACAAATATGTTTATGGCACCGAATGAAACTCATTTACATTTTTAAAAAAACTGTGTTTGCATTGGAGCTACTTGTTTTAACAATGACTAAGGCAGTGGGTCTCAACCTTCCTAATGCTGCGACCTTTTAATAAAGCTCCTCATGTTGTGGTGACCCCCAACCATCAATTTTGTTTTCGTTTCTAATTCATAAATGTGTGTTTTCCTATGGTCTTGGTCTTAGGCGACCCTTGTATAAGGGTCATTCGACCCCCAAAGGGGTCGTGACCCACATGTTCAGAACCACTAGACTAAGGCTATGACAACCGAGATTCTGAGAAATGCCTTTTCCCCTTAATTTCTATAATTGGTTGAAGTTCTAGTTCATATCTGACATAGAAATCCACCATTTTTTATTTTTCCCCTATAGTATTCTAATTTTAAATTTTTTTTTTTTTAAAAACTGAGACTTTGTTCTTAATGTTTAACCATTTCAAACCTTACAAATTAGTTAAAATATAAGAAATTTTTTTTCCATCTGGGAATTTTACTCAATCAACTTTCTTGAAGGTAATCCTGAGGTGCTCTGTGGTCTCGGTCTTGTTCGTCTGCATGAGAATCACCTGCTCAAGTTCATTGCCTTTTCTACTGAGTGTCCTTTTTAACTGGAGAAGAATTTTTTTAAAGTATTTTTAAAAAAGCATCTGTTTGGTGAATCCAGTTTTCTTACTAAGTTACTTTATGTTAATATAAATGAAGGTAAACCAACAGAAGTATTGTTCAAACTTCAATCCAAACATATGTGGTCCCAGTCACATTAATAATTCAAGCAGCTCTCAATGATGCTGGGTGAATTTAAAAGCATTTTAAAATTTTAGCCATGTTTTTTTTAGGCCCTTATGTATACAGATTACGTGGATATTTCTGAGTATGTATTTTACATTAAAATGTTCTTTCTTTCAAACTCATGTGCAATTTAGTAATTTTTTAATGAATTATTTCTTCTTCAATGCATGTAATATTAAGTAATGTTAATATGCTGTGTAAAGTAAGTAAAAATTTATTTAAAATTAAATTTGGATCCTGTTGATACTTTTTTTTTTGCTAACTGCACTTGCCTATCACTATCTGGTCTCATTTAATGATGGCTCAGTGCAAATGAGAACATGTTTTAGATCTCAACTCCTGGAATTATTTTATAAAAACCATCAGCATGAAGAGAAAGTTTAGAAAGGTGAAGGATAAAAAAAAAGATCATCAATGGAATACATGTGTTAAATGTTTGATATAGGTAAGTCTAAGTGCAACTAACCAATTTCACTTCTGGGGGCTTGTTGAAAGAAGTGCGTCCTAGGCTGGTTGTCTCCACAGTCAGCTCCTGACCTTGAACTTCACCTTCTTGAATTTCTACAACTCCTAGAGGGTGGTTAAATAAACAAATTAAACATTAACATTGCTTAAAGACGTTTTTCAAACTCCAATGAGCTGAAGTTAATTAAGGATTCAGCTGGAAATCCAAATGAACATATGTTTGTAGCATAAGGAGAAAGAATGAGTAGTCGTAGTTCCAATCAAACAATTTTCTAATATAGAAGACTGGCCTTAACATCAGTCTGTTTAAAAAAAAAATGTCAAAATGCAGAGCAATAGATCTGATGTATTTAATTAAGTAAGGAAAAAGTTACAGGAGTAGGGGGGATTAAAGTGTTGGGTAGGTTGAAATCTTATAAATCGCATTTTTAAATTGAGGTAAGGTGAAAATTATATGAGTGACAGTACCTAAATTATGTGCTGCCATGAAAGCTATGTGGTTAGACTCTGGTTTGATTCGGATAAATCCTGTTTCTCTGTGAAGTGGAACATTGTTCTCAGGTTTCCAGGAATATAATCTGTAGCGAGCAAAAGTTCAGAGAAATAAATGAAATTCTACTTTTAACGGTTGCATTAAAAGCTATAAACTAAGCGATCTGTGTAATTTTTGTACTTATTTGAAAATAAGGATTTTGGACTAAAGCCCACCTGTACTCCACAATAGGCTTCATTGCAATCGGGTGAAACTCCGCTTCTTCAGCGTAAGTGAAATCTGAAACAGTTGGATATATTCCCTTCCCTTCCTGTGATGTCCATTTCCCAAACAGCCACGACAATGGTTTCAACATTTCATGGAACTGAGTATCTGTTGATGTAACAATGTCTATCTTAAACAAAATAGATGTAATTTGCTGGACACTAAAGGTTTCAGCATTTCATGGAACTGAGTACCTGCTGATTTACAAACATTTATCATAATTAGATGTAATCTGATGGACATAAATGATGTGTCACCGTACAATGTATCATAGCAGCTTTGTAATTGCGCACAAAACAAGACAAATTAATTTTTTAAATCTCATAGTCTTGGGCTATTAATTTACTTTGAGCCAAAATTGTAAAGCTTTTTAATTGCTCCAGGCCTAAGGAAACCTGGGGGGGGAGTATGCGGCGCGACCTCGTTCCTTCTAGTGCATGGCATTTTACCTTCATTAAATTTTAAAATAATAATGTTCTACTTATGTGACAAACCTTAATATTCATTCATAACTAGTTATGGTTATAGCCCACCAAACAGTGATGGTTGCTATGTGTGCCCAACTATTGCTGAAGTTACTTTACAAAACATGCATTCAATTATAGCACTTTATAAGAATCTAAATCAGTGTTTAACCCCCCCCCTCCCCCCCCCCACCCTATTCAATGTACCCACAGCACACTTTTTTCAGGCCCCTGAACAATATTGCTATTATGATTTCTCAACCCCTTTTATATAGCAGATTTATTAAATTAGATTAAAATGAGACTATTTCCTAAATAAAATATTACACACTTTTTTACCTTTTAGCAGTTATCAGGAATTTTATTTTGCACGCTATTGAACTCACATAANTTGGGGGGGGGGGGGGGGGGGGTTGCAATGTGCTTAGGGGTACCTAACTTGTATGTGGAAGCACTGTGTGAGATTCAGAAGACGCCATCAGTGCTGAAGCTGAAGGGGTACCAAAATTCTTTTTAACGAATCTATTCACATTTCAATCCACGGGTTGAATTATAAGGGGAAGCAGCTCACAGTTTGCAAACCCCTGTCTAGGGGTAAGGTCAGGATTATTATTTAGTTTGCTGCGTAGTGATTAATATGATAAATCCATCAACTGAATTTGATTAGGACAAAGTAATTGCATAACAGCAGATAATTTCAGTTCAGCGACATACACTTGGTATGTAAATGGTGACAAGAAAGATGCGACACTATTATTTTAGGACTCTAAAAGCATTACTTATCTTAATAGTTTGTTCCATGTAAATTTGTTCCGGTTTGACTTTAAAAATAAATAACAAACCTACCTGATGAGGTATCTGCCATTTTAGATGCTAAAGTTGATGATTTTATATTTTTCAAAAACTTGTTTCCTGAATAAAAATGAAAGAAACAAAAATTGTTAACAAAAAAAGTAGAGTCTAATTTAGACTAATACAAAAATCAAATTTTTTTTTTAAATCTTGAAATATAAATAAGTAGAAGTCAAATCAAATCAATTCTCTATTTTTGAGGTGTAAATAACAATAACTTTTCTCTTTTCATACTGTCCCTTTAAAGTCTTGAAAAAAACAACAACACAACACCAAGATTCTCATGCATAACGTTGTTTTAATTACTTGAGTGTAAACAAATAAAACACCTCATAAACAGCAGGTCTGTACATGAACAGGTTGTCAAGTGAGAATTAAGGATTATGAGAGCAACAGTGTCAAAAGAATTAAGGATTATGAGAGCAACATGGCTAAAAAAGAATTAGAGATATTTTTCATTAATTACAATTCTATTACATTTAAATTCAAAAATTGATTGCCATGGAGATAATTTTAAATTAAAAATGAATGAAATCTAAATTAAAATATTAATAAGGAAAGAATGAAGGTCATAAGGAATATCAACAATACACTTGCATGATAACAGTTATTTAATGGAATTTTTTTGCTCTTTAAGGAAATTGGAAAGCCATTTAAAAATGTACATGTGTAAATGAATTTCTCATAAAAAAACTTATTTACAAGAATAGTTAATCTTATGAACCAATCATCCATCATTTTAATATCATTTAAGATAATTAAAATTAAAAAGTTGTTAATAACACCGAGAAAAGCAGTGTTTCAACATTTTTTCAGAACATCATGAGAGATATAAGTAATTTTTTATTTTTTTTAAAATACTAACCCACAAACAAAATCAGCTTGAAACAAAAACTAGTTGGGCTATGATGTGGTTCATTTTTTTATCTGGACAATAATTTATTTATCCCTTATTTTCTTTCAAATAATATTTTGCACACAAATTGAGATTAATACCATTTTTCAGATTCATGCTATTTAGCTGTGGCACAACTGATAATTTGTAAAACACATAATTAAGACTAAACAAGGAAAGTGCTACTATGATTACTAAATCTAGTAAAGCAATTCTACACAGAAATGATATTAAAAAACTCACCAGGGGATTTTAATCGTTCATTAAAGAATAAATTCACAGTAGCCTGCTGGAAATATTTTTTCATTAAACTGTCTTTATCAGCTTGTATTGCAGATTTCCTTTTCTTTTTTGTTCCACTGTTTGATGTTCGTTCCTTCCACCTACGTTTTTTTAGCTTTGATGTCCTTGGATCTTGTGCGTACTCGTGGTTAGTTGGTATATTTGTGTTAGGGGCGTCAAGAAGGACAGTGTGCACAGTATCAGGACGGGTGGTTTGAATGGTATGTGGAGGGATTTGCTGTTGCCCAGTGGGCAGATGATCACCGTTATGGGGTTCAGTGAATGTAAGAGCTGTAATAGTTTGGTAGTTTGCATCTGACATTGCCTGTCTGCCTATATCCTCTAATGTGGTCCAGTGTTGGAAATTGTGCGAGTTCCCTAAATTCTGGGAGTCCACCTGCTGGACATCGTGCATAACATTGTTGCAGGTGACAAGATTTTGTGAAGTTTGGTGGAAAGGTTGAGCAGCCAAACCATAAAACTGGGTGGAAGGAAACGACAGCGTATTTACAGTATACAAGTTGTGTGCTGGTTGATAAGTTGGTGTATCCACATAACAGTGCTGATTAATAGGAGAATCAGAGTTTTGTGGTTCAGCCATTGTGGGGTGCTGCTGATTATTGTTGGTCAGTTGTGATGCGGATATGCTAGCTATTGGTACATCAACTTCTGGTTGAGGATGAATCTCACTGGACTCATGCATGCCAGGCTCCATCTCTGCGCCACTGTGATCTGTGGCGTCTTCCTTAAACAATGACTCTTTCTTTGGGACTCCCGGTTTTAGTTTTGGGTTTACCAACCGGGTCTTGATGTTATGTATATCTTTCATTAGAATGACTTTACCAGTTATCTGCATAAGCTTATCTCGAAGTAGCTTTTTATCTGGTTCCATACACAACAAGTTTGCAATTTCCTCCTGGGAGTTAATATCAAGTTTTCTTTGCTTTGGGTGGAGCCTAAATTCTGCCTGCATGCAAGTAAGGAAAAAATAATTAGTGGACTGAGTATATAGGACACAGTTTAGTTTTAAAATTATATATATAACAAAAGTAGATTCAGTATAAGCTTCAGTGATTATAATTTAGTTGTTGCAACACATATTTTTTATGATATTCATTATTTCTACAGATTGATAAATATTCATAAGTTTTTAAGTGAGAATCCACATTTAAGAAGATCTGTTAATTAGTGTCTAGTAATAAATCTACTTAGTGACTAATGTTAATTTATGACACCATTGCTTTTCTTAGTTTAAAATTTAATGAATAATTTTAATTTTTTAAAAATACCTCTGAGATTTCATGATTGTGAAGGGAGCTCATTTCTCTAATAAAAAGTCTTTGCCCATCTACAGTAGCCCTAACTTTCAAAGAGAAAGGGCATGCCTGCTTTATTGTTCTGTTGAGATAAAAATGGAGATCACATATAGGAAACAACTGTGACAGTAAAGGGAGCTAATAAAAGGTTTTGAAAAACAAAACAAAAAAATCACAGGATAATGCATTGAAAATAAACAAAGACATTATAATTACATTAAGTCAAGTACATGAAGTAATTTCTGAAAGCCATCTTATCATAAATTAATAAGTTTTATTAACCAATTTTGTATGTCTAAAGAATTTGTTAACAATCAATTAATAAAACTCAAATAAAAGCTCAAACAGACACAATATGCAATGGTGGAACTATACCAAAGGTACTTACTTAGAATTTGATAGATTAGAAAAAAAAAACAATGCTTTGTCAGTAATGCCATTTTTTATAATCTGATAAGGCCTACAAATTATTCACAACAATCTTTTTTAATGAAATGTAACATCATCAAAATTTAAAAGGTACTTACTTGTGGTTTCTTTTACCAGTGGAATGTGAAACATACTTTTTCCCACCGTAAGTGCAGCAGTATGAGATATCACTATATTTAATGGCAGTATTATAAGTTTTACGTTGGTTTCGTTTTGCAGCAGCTTCCACTTTTCGTGTATCTCTAATGATCAAATTGACAAAATGTTCTGCCTCATATGCCTTGATGGCATTCGTTAAATCTTCATAGGTGTCAAACTGTGCACCGACTTCCACCGCCATGGTTAATTAGTTGATAGTATAGTTCTAATCCATCAGGGCTTCTGTTCCACTCTCACACAAGTATAAGCACATTTTTTTAAAATTTACTATTTGCAGTTTGTTTCATCTGTGCTTCTATGGTTCATTTTAAATATAACTTTTTTTTAATATTTAGATAAAATGATTTATTTTATTTTAAAAGATGTATTCTTAGGTTTTTTAACAACATCATCTGATGAAGAGGAAAGATGAAGGTTTTAGTTCAAAATCATTGAATTAATCACTTTATGGTCTAGTTGCTCAGGTGAAAACTCTGGGCATCTGGACATCCATACCAGGGATATCATTTGGGTAGGGCATTTGCCCTCTCTCCTCTGACTTTGCATGTGTTATTTAAATTACTATGTACTAAGATGCCTTCAGTAATTACCAACTATAAAAGCTGGTAAAGTTATTGTTTTTTCGTTGTGTTTCCCCCCCCCCCCCAACCCCTCCACTTAAAAAAAAACAGAAATGACGTTCCTGGTTCATATCAATTTCAAAAAATTAGTATATGCCATTTTATTCTGAAGATTGATCATAGATGGCCAATATAAGTAATAACTGTTTAATTTATATATTTACTTTCATTGGGTAAACATAAATAAAATAATATTCATCTGAAATTCTTAAGATTTAGTTGTAAGTTCAAGTAATAAGTAGGGCCTACATTGGAGCATTGAAAATTCATAGACTGTAGAATGATTTGTTTTTCTTCCCAAGTTCAAAATCACAATTTGATTTTTTTTATTATTCTAATAGGATGATCATTATTCAGAATATTTTTTTTACAGTAAAGATTATAAGATTTTTTTTTTTTATTTATTTCATCTGGCAAGTAGAGATTGGCCACAACAACCAATTTGTTACTAGTAGTAGGTTTAACTGTAACAAAATTAATATTATTTGTTAACTTGTTATTAAATGTTATTGAATTCATATAATTCAGATTTAAGACACACAATTTTAATAAATTGGGAGGATGATGTGATTATTAATTTTAATTTGACTAATTTGAGAAATTTTATTCTCTTAGTATTTAGTTAGGAAAGAGGGAGGGAAAAGGGGGGGGGGGGCTAAGAAGGGACGGTTTTTAAGTTTTAAAGACTAACTTAACTAACTAAATTAAGTATAGGCTATAGGCCTAGAGTTAGAGTCTGCGTATTGAGGCATGATGATGTGATTATTAATTTTAATTTGACTAATTTGAGAAATTTTATTCTCTTCGTATTTAGTTAGGAAAGAGGGAGGGAAAAGGGGGGGGGGGGGCTAAGAAGGGACGGTTTTTAAGTTTTAAAGACTAACTTAACTAACTAAATTAAGTATAGGCTATAGGCCTAGAGTTAGAGTCTGCGTATTGAGGCACTCAGGCAGCTTCAGCAAATGGCATAAATAAAGACTAAAGTAAGTAGCTTCCGGTTAGATGGGATTCGTGTACATGTTTTTTGATGAGGAATATTTCTTTGACTATGACATTATTAGTCAAGTAAATCCTCAAAAAACTGTGATTTATAAACTAAAATGTCACCATTGCTGGTCAAGGGATGAGCCAAGAGCTGCTCATTCCTGCCCAAGACAATCAGTATCAGGGACTGGAAGAATCTTTCAAAAGGAATGGTTGAGGCAACAACACTAGACACATTTGTGTCTATTGCCTCAAACCTTTAAACCCCTAGTGCATGATTCCCTCACAAAGTGGCACTGGAAATCAGTGAAATTTCGTCATCAACACCAGGAACAGAAACATTGCAAATCCCATCTACATGCATAGGAGCCAAAATGATCAATAAATTGATCGTGGGCCCTTAAGATATAGAAGACTTAGAAGAAGAAGAAGTAAATAATAAGGTCCGGCCCAAACCCTCAAAATAAATCTTATTCTGGCTCCTCGGCTAAATGTTATAAAATTCTTATAAATAATGCTCACTTGGTGGATATTTGATAATCTGAATGTTTGGAATAAGTATAAGGTAAACAAATCCTACAACTCTGTTGACAAAGTTTAGTCTTATAATGTTTAGGTCAACCTACTTACCGAGTTAGGAGAAAAACACGCAATTATTTCGACATGAAAATCATTGATAACGTTTATTTTAATAGTGCTATTTTATTTAGCGTGGAGATTGTGCTAAACTAAAATTGTGTGCTAAAATTGTAAAACACCAACATAATATCATGTTTTATGACAGTTTAATCTTTTAGATTTATGTGATATTATTTTTTTATTTTAGTCGTATAATTGTTCATTACTTAAATTTAGTAGGTTATTTAATTAATATTTTATAGTGTTATAAGATAAAGAAAATATGGCAGTGCTTCCCAAACTATGTGTCACCAAAGTGTGTATGTGTGTTGCACCAAAAGAAGTTTACTAAGCCACATCAAGATTCACGCATTTTTTAAGACTGAAAACCCCTCTAAAACTGAATTTACAAAATATATGGCGCAAATTAATGATAAACTAGCAGATGGTAATAAGGGTGAGAGACTATAGGCAGGTTAGCAAAAAATGAAATAAGCGAAACAAATTATGGGAACCCTGAAAAAAATGAACGCAATAAAACAACGAATGTGTCGACTGGAAGCCTTCATCAGTAAACAAACAACAGATAAACAGAATTAATTTTTTTTAATAGCACTTAGCTGAAGGGTAGCCAATTCTTTTGCTAGCGAAAAGCGATATTTTACAACTATACTGTAGACTTAAAACTCTCTACTGGTAGGCCTACATGTGTCTGGCATCTGAGGTTGAATACACACAAGTAAAACGACAACATAATAACTGTGAAAAAAGTTAAACCTCAGATCATCATTTAATGTCCATGAAGTCCCTTTAGCCTTTATGGTCCCGAGTACGACGCCCATCTTGCCCAATGGGTAATTCGGCCCTGATTAGTAGCGTAACTGATTGTCTTGAGAATTCACAGTAGCCCCATCATATCCATACCATTTTTTTTTACATCCAAACGTATTTATGACAACCAATGAAATACGCGTTTTGCAATTCCACGATGCATTTAAATATTTTAGATAGAAAAGTTTTTCAAGAGAATATATTCTCTTTTTTTTCTAAATATATAGTGGAACAAAGTATGCCAGACTTGGTAAAAAAAAAAAAAAAAGGACATACCAATTAAAAGGGGGTTTCGGCTAAATGCCTTCTTCAGCAGACAAGACAATAAAATTGAAATCCAATATTTTTTCTGCTGCATAATTCGTTACATCAGCTCCTCGGGTCAACATCCCGCTTCTTGCTCAGCTCTATCACAAAAATCACTCATAATTAATTGTTCTAATTTCATGAAATCAAGTGGTATTATTTTATTTCACATTTTCATGAATGACGTAATTATAAGATTTGAATATGTGTATTGTTAGGAAGGAGCGTAGCATAAGATGCACCATTTGCTGAATCGAAAAGGCCATGAAGATAATAGAAAGAATTACTATTGAAAGAAAGAATATATCTCTGAAAGATCCCGGTAAGTGACGTTCTCCTGTTGATATTTAACTCCGAAATTGTTCAACTAACAACTAGATGATTATAATAGAGAGTTCTAAATGATGACAAAGGTAAAGAGGGGAAGTGTAAGTCACGTGGAGTCTGTACAAACTAGTCACCGAATCACTCTTGTGGAGTCTGTCATTGTACAGACTAGCCCCCGAATACCACCCGTGGAGTCAGTTATTGTACATACTAGTCACTGAATACCAACCCTTGGAGTCTGTCATTGAACAGACTAGACACCGAATACCACCTGTGGAGTCTGTCATTGTACAGACTAGCCATCGAATAGCTCCTGTGGAGTCTGTACAGACTAGCCACCGCATACCACCTTTGGAGTCTGTTATTGTACATACTAGTCACTGAATACCAACCCGTGGAGTCTGTCATTGTACAGACTAGCCACCGAATAGCTCCGACGCACCTTTGTGGAAGAACTTTATATAACAAGGTGTCTACACGCTGCTGTCAGGACGATTAAATTTCAATTTCCCTGCCTGTTTAGGAATCGAGATTCAACGTCATGGGATAAAACTTAAAATATGCAATATATGTTTGTATTTCAATTATTAACTAACAACGAAACTGTTTAAATTTAAAAGTGTTCGGTCTATTTTCCCCTCCTTTAAAAAAAAAAAAAAAAATTAAATGAAAATATATTTCCTATCTCAGAGACTAACTGATCCCCTCCCCCTTCCCAAAAAAACAAAAAATAAATAAATAATCTTCCATCTGCCCCACCCATTTTTGAGAAACACCGCCGCACTATATAATATACAGATAAAGACCCTCTCAATAAAACTATAACACCTTGAGAATTTTTTTTGAAGTTTGAAGACAAATAACAAGTATGACACTCCTGAGAATAGATGTTTTGGGTTTTTTTACACTTATTTCAAGACGTCACACGTGTATTTGTGGTTTAGCCTCAACAACTATGACAATTTTCTGTAACCATTGTATGATGTTTATTTATTCCTATTACGTTTTTTTTTCAATCTAACACTCGTGTATTAAAAGATCAGAGCTGTCGTTGCAATTTCAAGTTGATCTCCAGGTAAAGATGTCAACGTTGTTGGTGTTGGTGTTGGTGTTCACCCAGAGCAATTTAAATGCGGGTAAGCCATGTTAATTTGGAAATGCCCGCTTCAGAAGGAGGAGGGGGGGGGAAATCAAGAGAAGTTAAGTCCCTAGGATTTACGAAGCCATGGAGGAACAACATATAAATGTTTGTGCTTCCACGTTTACCCAGGACTGTCTTAACGAGTTTTCCTGCGGCTGGATGACGTATAAATATGACGTGCAACTATGACGTATACCTATGACGTGTAACTATGACATGTAACTATGGCGTATACCTAGGACGTGTAACTATGACGTGTACCTATGACGTATAACTATGACGTATAACTTTGGCGTATAACTAGGACGTGTGACTATGACGCAGTGGCTAATTTATGACGTATAACATGATGTATAGCTATGA